AAGTAAGATGGGAAAAAGTATGTGGGAAACTTGATGGGAAAAACTATGTGGGAAGAAGATGGGAAAAACTATGTGGGAGTTAGATGGAAAAAATTAGATTCATCCGATTGAGATCTCCCTTTGTTTACATTTGTATAAATATTTTTAATAAATACTTTTCTCACGAATTGAACTTCTATTTTCAATTGAATTGTTCATATAAATAATTCTTATGGCATAGTTAACATGTGAAAATCGACACTTTTGTTTTCAATGTTCGCCACTTTCAATTTTGCATTATTTTCTTTAAAAATAGGGTTAATTATTAACGTAAACCTCGCAAAAAAGAAATCTGTTTGGTTTTTTGTTTAAGATGAATACAAGCATCGCTACATTGCACGCCGACTTCTTAAAGGGACTTCTGAAGGGAGTTTAAAATTGGCGTGCAGGATAACTCAAAAAAACTATTCATCCGATTGAGATCTCCCTGTGTACACATTTAGATAAATACTTTCCTTATAAATTGAATCTCTATTTGCAATTGTATTGCATATCCATCAGAGGGATTATCATTTACAAAAAATAATATAAAAGTAATTATAAATTTCGAAGAAATAAGTTGCACGAAATTAATAATATCTCGTTGATACTTCTGTCCAAGATCATGTTCTAAGAATTTATTCTATCCGACAAGATTTTTAATCAGATTTTTAATCAGAGCAAATTATCCTCAAAAGTGAAAAATAAATGCAAGAGCATAAATAAACAAGTATAGAAATAAAAGAGATACAAATATGACATTTTTTTTCTTAACTTACAATCAAGTATATTTATTTTAACAAAAACAATCACAACAATTTAGAGCTGCAGTTTATTTTGCAACTTTTTATATTTTAGCGTATTATATATACAAGTAGCACATATTTGACTAGATTTATTTAGAGACTGAAAAGCACATTTGACGCGAATTTAATTAAAAAATTTATATTATACGAAAAAAATACTTTTTTTTATATATCATAGATTTTTTTCTACAAATTCAACAAAAAACGTATACAACGTCAAAAGTAATCTTTAGTGCACAAGTCATTATATGATCGATAGCATCTTATCGTGAGCGTAAGCAAGCTGGATATTACTACATGGAAATATCAATTTTTATAAATATATAATATTCTTTGACCAGCAATGTGTATAATTATAATGAATAATAATTATATGATTTGATTACATATAATTGCAATAATTACAGGTGATCACTAATTAATGATTGACATTCTAAATTTTTGCAAAAATTATTTGTAAATTTATATAAAAATATCAATGCTCCACAGAGACATAAATAAGCTTCACCGTAATACTAGGTATAACGATTCATGTGGATGGCATGCTTTTCAGTGTGATATGTCTTAGATATTTGACTAAGCACAGGCGAAACTTCAGGATCGTTAATCCATACATTTGTCGATGCGGGCGTTTCTATCATCGATAAATATGCTAAAAGAAAGAAATTTTAAAGAAATAGACAATACCAATTTTTCATATTTTCTTATAGTCGTATCTTACCAAGCAACATCTTGGGATTTGTAAGACTAAGTTGAATATGAGGATTACTCATAATTGCTTTATAAATGAGACCATCGGATTCGAGGCCTTCATCCAAGTCTTGTAAACTACGTCGTCTTTCGCCTAGCAACCATTCGCACTGTCAAAAGAGAAATGTGAAACGTTATTGGAATATAATTTAAACTTTTGTTTACCATTGCAACTTACAGCATTAGCTTGATCGTTTCCAGTAACTTTCAACGCTCCTATAACATTCTTCTCATCAAAGCCCATTTCTACAAGCGATCGCATTGCCCTCTTATTAGGTTTGAATTCCATTTTCTTATATTGTCGAAAACTTTCCAATAATAATTTCACGATATATACAAGATTTTTTCTTTTTGCTCTTCATTTCCTAAAGTCAATACATTTTTTATGTATTTTATTACTTTTAATTTTAATTATCTTAATAGTATGTAGCTTTGTGTAAGAATTACCCGTTTCAAACAATTCTAAACATGCATCCTTTAATGATTTTTTCTTAACGCTCGTTGAAGAACTGGGACCTGCAATATTTGCATCTATCATTGTATCCATAGATAAAAAGTCTGTATCATCGTCATCGTCATCTTCGTCATCTGAATCATCCTGATGTTCTATAAGCCATTCTAAAGCTTCTGTTATATTTGATCTGAAACAAATTCATTTTTTCATAATATCTGTGCAAATTACCAATATATTATGCATCTATATTAACCCTTTGTTGCTGGATAACTATAATCGCTCATCATGAAATGATGTTCATATAGTTCGTCATGAAACGATCTTCATATGCATGGGCATTTGTGATCGCTCGATATATAACATTCGTTTAGTGAAATAGAAAGTTTATATTTGACGATTTTAAATACATATGCGTGCTTTGTCCATAACATGGATCGTTTAGTTTTCTATTTTATTTTTATTATCATAACAGCCGTAGCAAAAGACTTAATAAATAATAAAGATTAATATTTACTTTCGAAGACGCAACGCTTTGAGAACTTTCTTATGAGAGTAACCCATTTCTACAAGAGTTTTTACAACTTTTGGATCATTAGTGGGTTTACACCTGACCTCAAGTTTCTCCTTAATGATATCATATAGTTTTTCAGCATCAGGACTGTGCATTAAGATCTTTGCAGATGCTTGTACAAGAGTTATCAAAATTTTACGAATTTCATTCTGAAACTATAAATAATAGTAAAAATGAAAGAACATAATAAACAATATATATCTTAAAATATATAAAGTATATATTTACATCCGTAGGACATTCTGTAGATGGCATAGGTTTAGGTGCATTTCGAAGACTAGGTAGTTCACTTGTAGCTCGAGCTATTGCTTCTAGACTTGGACCCTTAAGAGCTTCATCTGAGAGATTTTTTTGTACAGTGCTTGATCGTATTTCTACTAATAATAATTCATCTGTAACAACAAATTACTTGCTTATATTAAAAAAGGATATACAATACACACACACCATACACACATACACACATACATACATACACACACACACACACACACACATACACACACACACACACACAAGTTGAAAATCTATCATCAGAATAGTAATTATAAATATATAAAATTATAGCAAATAATTGTACCATATTCATTGATATCCTCATTGTCCACATAATTTTCATCTGCAAGTTGCTTAAATTTAGATGAATGGACTAAGCGATAGCATGAGATAGGTTTAGTTGCATTCTGACCATAGAAATGTATCACTGCAATTTTTTTAATATTTCCCACAGTAAAATCTGGCTTTACAGTAACATCCACTACATTGCCTTCTATGCTATATAACAAAATTTAATGTTACCTAATAGTTAACAAAAATATTTCTTATAGTTTCAACAATCAAATCAAATGTAAACACCTGATAACATTAACAGAGAAATTTTCAGGTGAGGTAGATAATGGCGTAAGCATGGTGTTATCGCTTGCAGGATTGCCTGTGCTGACAGAAGAAAGGGCCAAGGACCGCCTATCAGCTGTCCTTGAACTTTTTCTGTTATGCCAGGCCTCCACTATTTGATCACGCATCCATGGGATCATTAAATTTACCTAAAAGAGATAATTATAATAATTATGAGAGAAATAGAGATAGTTTCCCTCAATACATGTTTTTATGGAACATAAATATATATTCTATATAATACAACTTTGCATATATGCACATGTATTTGAAATGCACATGTATTTGAAATGTTTAAATATTGCTATAAAGTCTAATTTTTAATAGAAAATTGTTGACTCTATATTATAAATACAGATTGTATCTTCTTACCTTTATATTCCTTTCACATAAATAATTCAAATTTTAATCTATCGCTAGGTAAAAAGGCTCGAAAGATCGGTTACGGAGGTTACGATGAAAAATACGAAGCATTTTATGGCTAATCGAGAGCATTAAAGAGTTAACGAGTCGGCTGTCATCTTCGAGTACGATGCATCGGGACAGATTATTTTTTTTTTATAAAACTGGTACCCCTTATTCCATAAGAATCGTGACTATCATGACAGCTGATTACTGCATTCCGTACTGCACTCGCCAATCCTTGGCGTAAACAGATAAGGTTGATTGCGCAAAATATGGCGACACGACCAATCACAAATCCTTCTAAATACGAGCGCAATTTTCATTTTTTCATACCGTATAATATAAAAATTTTTCTTATAATATAAAGCGAATGTTAGAAATATAATATTAATATGCATTTAATAAATAAAACTTTCTAATCTTACAAAAACATTCTTGTCTGTAATATTTTTTGTAATGACAAATATATCAGTTAAATAGCTATTTAATTTAATTTTATGAAAATTTTGTTAAAAAAATTTAATAACATTTTTAATATATAATTTTATAATACATGACAAAATGTAATAAATATTTAAATTTTATCTATTATCTTATACGTCTTTTTTTTTAATTTTCTCTCAATCAATGAATTGAAATAACATCTTGTTTCAATAATTTATTATATCTAAATAAATTTTATCATAATATGACTAATAGAATTTTTTTAGACACTGTCTATCTATCTTCTTATCATAAATTTCCAGAATTAAACGATATATCGCAACAGCACGTAAGCGTTTGCAACAGACATCGAGGGGCGGAGAGACGGGGGGAGTGATGGGGGGAGGAGGACGGCGCGTTGCCATGGCGACGAACCGCGCGGAACGCGGACTGATGTTTCACGTTCCGCCGTTCCGGCCAGCAGCTGCAACTGTCAGCTGTTCAATATGGAACGATAGCGAAGTGTAGTCACTTGTAGGAGTCGGTAGTCGTTGGATCCTGTCGGATATCGTCAAGTCAGCCAGAGCCGAGAACACAGCCAGGCAACTACAGCTGGAGAGAGAGCGGACCCTCTCGCACCTAGCGCGCGCACGAAGTGGGCCGCGAGCGGGACGGACGGGGTAAAACGGGGGTGACGGTGAGATAGAGGCGGACGGTGGTGAGAGCGAGCGCGCGAGGAGTAATCGCGCTGCCGCGAGCGCTCTCGAGCCGTGAGAGCCCGCGAGAGGAGAAAAAGAGAGAGTGTCCCCGGAGAGCGTGTCTCGCGCGCGCGCACGCACGCGCCGCCACACGCACACGTGCCCACGATTTTTATGCGAGATCCCGCGCGAGATCAACCTGGATGTATTAACGCAAGGGCTGAGGTACGGCATATCAGGACTCATGAACCTCGCAACCAACCAGACGTCCGACACGACGTCCGACGCGCAGAGCAATGGTCCCTACTTCGTTAACTTCAATCAGGACTGCACGTAAGTCTCTTCTCCCTCCCCCCTCCCCCTCTCTTCCTCCTCGCCTTCGCCTCGCCCCGCGCGGCCGTCGAACATCCTCCATTCTCCTTTGTGTGACTCTAACCTCGCGCTTTCCTCTGTTCCCGATCGTTTCGATCGTCTCCCCGTTCTCGACGGGAATCATCTTTTTTCTTCACTCTCTCGATTTCGAGAGAGATGTATATATATATATATGTTTATATACATGATTTGACATACGCGTCAGGTTTTGCGCGTCGCGCAACTCCGCGCTCCATGTTTTCCCAACGCGATGTTTTCATTGCGTTATGCCTGCGTCATTCGCTGCTCCCCCTTTCACCGATTAATTGCGTGTTAACGAGAGCCAACCTTCGCGCGGCGCTCACCCGCGCCCGCCGTCGTCGCGCACGAAGGGAAGAAAAGGAGGATTGCGATATCGTAGCCTCTCCGATCACCTCCCGGGTGCGCGGGTACGCGCGTTGCCCACTCGACCTTTCCATTCGCCTTATCCAAGGATTTATCCTCGGCTCCTGCTCCTCGTGCGATTGCGTATCGCTTATAGCAGTCTTTTATTTTTCTTTTTCTCTTTTTTTTTTTTTTTTTTATTTACGATATACTCGCGCGAATGACGATGGCAATAATATCGGCATATAGACAAACAAAGACTGCACGTAGATATCAAAGGAACCTGGAACTCTTTGTCTTTCAAATACGATCGCATTCTTTTTAATTAAAAAAAAATGAAATGAAAAAAGGAAAGGAAACTTGTACCTGTGAACTTGGTAAGATTCCTGATTCTCTTTTAGGTCCTTGGCTGTGGGATCAAAATCAGGATATAAACTTTATTCCATCAGCTCTACTGGACATCTTGAGAAGATATATGAAAATGGTAATAATCGACTTTCCTGTACTTTATAAGCTTAGGTGTGGTTTGAGATTACTATTATAATAATAAAGGATTGATAAAATGATAGTTGGAGATAAGCTTTAATAGTAAGATAAAAAAAAGTTATAAATATTTTTTTTAAGACAACATTTTTCTCCCATGGGTAGCGAAGACGAATGATTGATTAATAAAAACTTCCGACGTTATTAATGAGAGTATTTCCTTTTTTCGAGATGATGCAGATTTTGAAGATATATGCATCGTTGAACGACTGTTCAGTAGCAGTTTAGTGGCGATTGTTAGTCTTAAATCCCCACGTACGCTTACAGTGTGCCACTTTAGGAAAGGCACAGAAATATGCAATTACAGTTACTCAAATACAATTTTGGCTGTGAAACTCAACAGAGCAGTAAGTTATTAACTTTTACGTCTTTTGTCTGTTTAATAATATTACATCAAACTTTGACTTCTGAAACACTGTATGGATCTTGCTGGTTTCGTTACAGATTTTGAAAAAAATTGTAAGCTTCTCATCTAATTTCATCTTGCTTGATCCAAAGTTGTTTTTGTTCGGAAGTTTCTACATTTCACATGGGATAATCACTATCGCGATTTTTCTGTTTATTTTGAGATTAAATTAATGTTTTAAATATCTTGCTTTTATTATAATGAAATATTCTCAGTAAAAATCTTTACTGTCTAAAAATCTTTACCAAATGTAGAGGATTCATCAATCTAATCATCAATTCCAGGATTCAAATCCAAATCTCTTATTTAATATACTGAAAAGAATATCACTTATTTCAGAGACTGGTGGTATGTCTGGAAGAATCGCTATACATTCATAATATACGAGATATGAGAGTGTTGCACACAATTCGTGACACTCCACCTAATCTTACGGGCCTTTGTACACTTTCGCCAAATAGTGACAATTGTTACGTAGCTTACCCTGGTTCGAACACGATCGGGGAAGTTCAGATATTTGATGCAAACCATTTGGTACATATTTTAAATAAATTTAAATAAATTGATATGAAAACTTTGATGCATTAGAAATTGACATTTTTAAAATTGTGTAAAATTTTTTCTTCAAACAGCAAGCCAAAACAATGATACCTGCACATGATAGTCCCTTGGCAGCAATCGCTTTCAGTTCGACTGGCACCAAAGTGGCAACAGCCTCTGAAAAAGGCACTGTGATTAGAGTCTTTGATGTAAGATAAATTATGATATGGCTATATTTCGATTATGGCTATATTTCGTTAGTAGTTATTAATAGTTTAGTAATATAATTGTTAATAGCTGTAACAGATAAAAATTATTTGCAGGTTCACGAGGGTACAAAGTTATTCGAGTTTCGACGCGGAGTTAAGAGATGCGTCACGATAAACAGTCTTTCTTTCAGTATGGACTCTATGTGGCTCTGTTGTTCTAGTAATACGGAAACTGTGCATATATTCAAATTGGAGGAACCAAAGGAAACGTAAGCATGTTCATTGCTTTTACGATGAATATTTCACTGTAGAAATATCGAAACCGATGTTACTTTGTTGTAGACCAAACAAACAAACTGCAGAAGAAGCACAAAGCTGGATGGGATATTTGACGAAGGCTGTGACAGCGTCGGCCACATATTTGCCGTCGCAAGTGACTGATGTTTTTACTCAAGGACGTGCTTTCGCAAGCGTCCACTTACCGTTTCAAGGTTTAAAAAATGTCTGTGCCATCACTGTGTAAGTATTTAAAAAATTTGTTATATTCTTAAATTTGTATACATACATATACATTGCGCGTTAAATCCATTACGTAGTTGCGATACATTTATTTGTCCATATTTTAGAACACATAAAGTACCAAAATTGTTAGTAGCTAGTGCTGATGGTTACTTATACGTCTATTCCGTGGATCCAACAGAAAGTGGATGTTGCACTCTTATAAAACAACACAGGTTCGTAATAGTTTCAAGTCAAATCGAAAAGAAAGAAAATGATGAGCAATTGTTTTTTATTAATAATTTTTGATGTTTTGATAATATTTAACCGCGTTTTATAATTTAAAATAATATATATAATATTAATGTATTAATGTATAAAAATGAAGATAAATGCATATTTTTTTACAGATTAGACGATAAAGAACGAGACGAATCAGATTGTGGTGGTTCTGGTTCGGGAGCAACTGCTACCACAAATAATACAAATACAGGTATGAGGAGAGCATTTTGGACTCTTGATTTTGTAGTAGGTTAGTTGAAGCGAGTTGACGATAAAGATACATTACCGACAGTTATATTTAATAGATAAAAAAAAGTACATTTAATAATGCGAAACTTTTTTTATATATCCAGTATAGTACGTTTGAATGTGTATAGAATTTCTTTTGTCTATTTCGTTTAAAGTTGTAATTTTATGATTTTGTGATAAGTTTCGCAGTTACTCGAGCACTAACAGATAGATTAAGTATTTTCTTCTTTGAGGTACATCACACATACATACATATACACACTTATATACACACACAGTTGGTACTAGCAAATATCACTTCCGAATATTTTATATCATGAAATAATAATGAAGAGCGTGTTCTTTTTAGCTGAACTTACATAGTTTATCTCTTCTCTTTTTCTCTTAATGGAGAAAAAGAGAAAAAAGGGTGCAAAAAATCCAGCAAAAATAAGTCTATACGATATCATCAATTGATTTAACATAAGTAAAAAGAAAAAAGTTTTCCACCTTCAACCACCTTCAACCAATCGTGAAAATTAATCTTTTTTGTGCAGCAATTAAAAATGATAGCAAATTATTCAAACTTGAAATTATTATAAAAACCAATTATAAATATTTGTATTTTTACTCAGACAAAAGCTGCGTTACAAGATTGTGCTATGGTGCTATTGTTTTGTCGTATAGTAGACAGTATCGCTATCTTGTACATCTGTAGATAGATTCCGCCAGCATTCATTAAAGTTGATCCAGCATCAGTTTTAGTGAAACGCTTGTATCTTTGACTATGTACCATGCGTGTGGGTGTGTGTATGTGTGTATGTGCGCGCGCGCCGCGTGTTCCAGAAGCCTTTACTTTTATAATTTGCTTTATATCTTCTTTTTCTCGCTTCTAGCCCCTTTACAAATAAAATAGCCAAGATAATTTCTTCAGGGGCACAGGGAAGGGGGGGGGGCCCGATAGTTGACCTTACTTGATGTAATTTTTTTCTTTTTAATATCCACCGAAGCCTGCATAAATAGCTACGCGGGTGTGTTGCGTGGCCGCTCGCCAGACTCCATGTCAGGTACTGGTATGTCCTCTATTCTGTCCCTCAAAAATTTTTTTTGCTCTCATTCTCCGTACACGAGACACCTAATTTTTCTCTAGAGCTTTTCTTTATATATATCTCTCTTTCTCTATGTTGTTGTTGTTGTGTGTGTGTGTGTGTGTGTGTGTGTGTGTGTGTGTGTGTGTGTGTGTGTGTGTGTGTGTGTGTGTGTGTGTGTGTGTGTGTGTGTGCCTCATTACCAGCGTTCGTGCATTTATTCTGTACGTACACGCGGCGAAAGGAAGAATGAGAGCAGTGCTGAATAACAATGTGCCTTTTCACGCGGCCTACATCCTCTCGTTAATACGATCGGTTTATATCGCTAGACTGTATTATAAACGATAGTACAAACCTATTATGCTTATTAACAACAGACCAGACAAATTCTCAAGAATATATACATGAGCATACACATATGCACAGGACATGCATGTAGGCACTAGTCTATTTTAGAGGAAGGAGGGAAGGGAATAAATCACTATGCACGTGTGCAAGTTGTTTTACTGGTCAGCAGATATAATAACAATATCCAGCATTACTGCATCCTGTTACGAAAGGTCTTGACAGTTCCTATAAAGAGTAGTCTATTCTTAGAAGAGACTACCTCGTAGATATCCCATTATTCTAACAATGTTAACGACTGTACATAATTGATTACTAATATCACTATATGTAATAATTGCTAAGGCTGTTAATAGTTGATACGATACTAGTGTCATAATTATAAATGGTATTTTATGGCAGGTAATAGCGTTGCATAATTTTTTAAAACAACTTTACTTACTAATCCTTACAAAAAGTACACATATGACGTACTTCTGTTAATTGTATATTATTCCTATATTAAATTCACTGCTGACGGAGGTATATAACTGTAAGAAAAAAAAGTTCGATCCTTTTATCTAATGTTTTCTTCTATTTTTTTTGTTGTAAAATTATTTTGTTGTAATAAATTGAATGTAGGCTAAAAAAAAAACCATTACTAATAATAATAATTTGCATCTGTTTGAAAAGAAATAGATATTAAACAATATAAAAATAAAATACAAGTCATATTACTTAAATCTGTCTAGTCTAAATGCTGTTTAATATTTTTTCTGCTATATTTTTATATCGTATTTATTGTTGGACAAGTAAGAAAACGCTCATATTGTCGCGAATGCGAGTGTCTTTTACAAAAGACAAAAAATATGCCATGTACAGACATATAAATGTCTTTAGAATAGTTTTTATTTAATTGATAATCTATTAGTTTTCTTATTTGTATCAAATAATTTTATATATATCATATTACACATACAATAGTGTGTGATTAAAAAATCAAATGCTTGTATAAGATTAATATTACTGATTTCCTATTTAGAAAAGACCATTATTTCATATTCATTAACGAATTCATTAGTGAATGTATTTCACAGCAATGTAATGTAGACAATGGTCAATGAGATATTTAATACTTGCACTCAGATAGAAATGTACTCCTGTATCGAAGCTCTTGTAGAGCGTTTGTATTCTAGTCTTAGAGTTGCCGAGCTTGCCGAGATTTAAGTGTTTGCATCAAGAGAGAAATCCAAATCAAATCGAGAATATATCTGAATGCATAAAATATATCATGTATCATTGAACGCTGATCGTCTGTATACATCTTTATCGTTATATCCGCTCGAGATAATGTGATAGAGATGGAGACTTGATAATCTGCATGTAAATGGATTTGTAGAATCAGAGAAGTATCAAGAGATGATAGCGGCAACGGAAAGCCCACCGAAAGGCGGCGGCCCGTTTCGTCTGGACGATGATACCGAATTCCCACCTGTCACGCAAAGGACAGACTGAGCATAACACACATATAACTAAGGCATATCAAAAGCTCAAGACGAATGGATATAGAAAAGATTGTGCAAGAGCAACGAGCGTGAGCGAAAGGGCGAAGAGCGCACAGAGTGCAGAGGACGTCCAGTATATCCAGTACTCCGAGTTCAATAGAAACAGAAACAAAAAGAAAGAAGGAATCTGTAAGCGATATTACTGAGATTGTTACTGTATCTAGTACGCATTAAAGATCTATAGACAGAATAGATCGCTCTGATCGTTAAAAAAATTGATTTTTATATAATAGAATTCATGCGTACAACAGAAAGGAAGTACCTCTGAGTAACACTCTTGGTCATATATTGAATTATCTGATTTTCAAATGAAATTTCTTTTAGTTAAATAGGCGTTGCATTTGCAAAAGGAATATGATATCGTGTGTAGAATATAGTAATCCAATGATAACGATTTTGAGCGTTTATCACAAAAATTGTACGAAATATCTTTTACAAAGCGTACACAGAGAATATATCAGCGCACGAAATATTCCAATATTTTTAATATTTCTGTGTTTTATATAGAAGTATCTATATAGAAAATATTTTTACTGTAGTCTAAGACGCCCAGGAGACTCCAATCGAAAATCACGGACCAGTATAATTAAATCATTTTATTTTAACATATGCTACATACTGAGCGATTCAAAAAATGATACTATATTATTTATCTGGATTAATATATAACTTGAATATTTTACCAAAAAATAATTTAAGATAGTTTTAGAAGCGTATAGAAAAAAGTTACAAGGATATTGTCAGTCTGCATAATATAAGCGAATATGTTCTATTTCTCGAGACTTTATGAAATTTTTTATAAATCAGAATAACAATGGCGAGCGTCAAACTGAATTCCATATAGTTATTCTGACATATTCACTTCTGACAAAAATGTACTTTAAATAAATTTGCATCATTGCAGCATTAAATATTTATGTTCGTTATGTTTATATAAATCGTATCTAAAGATCGACGTAAACAAAATTGTATTCCTGTTTCTTACTCCATTATGGAAACTACACGTAAAGATTTTTAAACACACATTTGAACTTGCAACATAACTTGCATCTGTTACGTTAATACATTTCATTGGATTACTATATTTTTTATGATGAAATCTTTGTCTTCTTTGTGTTCAACGAAGAGAGCTCATCTTCTGTTTGGATAAGAATGGATAGACATACAAATATGTGTGAAAAATTGTCGAGCGAGATGAGCTTCAGCTGTAATTCTTGTATAAAATGTAAGATCTTACGATATATATTAGCTTCTTGTAGAAAGGTGTAAAACACGATCAGGTTGTATAATTTTGCCAAAAATATCAATTTTGTAACGGTACAACACTTTGTTGGCATTTAGAATTCAAAAGTACTTCAGTCTTTAAGTGATGAACTTCGAGACGATGAAGTAATGACAAACGATAGCATACGAGTACAAGATATTTAAAAATATGAGAGAAGGATTCATTCCACCTTCCTTAAAATTTGAAATGATTCTACACGCATTATCTCATATCAACAAGATAATTTTTGAAACTGTTGCGTACTGAATTCTAATTCGATTTTGTATCTTTCGGACATCACCCATGCTGTACTTTAATGCTTTATATCGGACAGATATAATGTACACAATATGTAATCGTATCGAATGTGCAATAAGTTTCTTTGAGAGCGCTTTTTCGACTCGATTATTGAAAATTGTCATGACATGTAATTTATATAAATAGCTAATTAACGATAGGGACAAAGAATCTTTGATATATTTGCGTTTTCGTTAGTATTGACTTTGTTAGAGCGGTCGAGCTTGATTGTGAATACAATTTCTCCACTGATCGGTGCCAATTTACCGGAACGTAAGACGACACTGGCGTTGGCGAAGATATTTTGTCGTTGTGTAATTAAGTGAGGCACGGCTGCGTTTTTTTTCATAATTCTTCGTAACTTATGTAATTTAATGGATCTTATAATATATATCTCCGATTACAATAAGAAGTTTCTTTCGAATGAACTGAAACATTCAGCGCGATCGTGAGTATGTCAGAATCATAGATCCATAAATGTGTCATGTTGTTCACAGCGATTTTATACTAACGAGTTTTATTTGGTAAATAGTTTTACTTTTATAAAGATAAATAAAAGCGTTAAATAATAACCAATGTACATATGACCGTGCTAAAGCTTAAGCTTTGAACGTCATTGCGTATGAAGTTTCTATTAATACACGTGATTGTGCTGGTCTGCAAATGAAGAAAAAGAAAAGATACTATGAGTTTCTCTTTATATGATATTTTCCTATGATTGATTCAATATCCTATTTTTATTTGTATTCAATAAAATTCCTGACGATTTTCTATAGGTTTTCTATAAGTCGATCAACCAACGCTTCCTTCATTGAAAATTACGTTATCATAATTCGTGTAAAAACTTGTGCTGATATTATCTCACATAAATATTACGCAAGATTAGTATAATATAATCCTTATGAATTTCCAAATAAATGAATTATGATTTTTTTTTATGATTTTACTCAATATGTTCCTAGCATTTGAATTAATATTCTTGTTAGTTGCAAAATACATTCAAATACATAAAAATAAGTAAAACAGAAATTAAAAATACATAAATTGTGTGCATGCAAGCATAAAAAACTTAAACTGTTTATAAATCGGAGTATTAAATTTTTTAGAGTATTTATTTTATAATTATATATCGAATTACTACTGGTTTTTTTATGTTAAAATTAAAGTATATTACTTTCACACATTAGTGACACTGATAACATACAAAAATTTTGCAATGAATATAAATCGGTATCTGGAGAGAACAATTGTCTCCGATAATATATTAATTTTTTGCACTATATTTTTTTAAACGATCCTACTATTGGAACGTATATCTATTAAAATATGTCAGAGTGGTACGATCAATTACGTCATAAAAGTATCAACAAGTTATCAGTCTTGTAAAAAAATCAAACGAACATTTCCTTTTATTCGTATTATATTTAATAATCTTATTCGGCTGCTTCATTCATCAGAAATTTCAACGTTTATAAAACTGCGAATGGTTATAATGAAAATAATTGTGTGATTCGAATGACGAGATTTAAAAAGGCTTTTTATCGTCGTATATGGATTAATTTACTATTGAGAGATATTTGCAAAATTGTCAACATACATCATCATCAACTGACAATCTCATCTCGACATGGCATAAATTTTTATATTACTGCAATGCGTGATTGTGTGTATGAACAACAAAATGTATTCTCATAAAATACAGTGATGATGCAGCAAAAGGGTCTATTCCGAATTCAAGCTCAACAAAATACATGATCGCATGTACAATCGCGGTTGTAATATCTATATTCCTATATGTGTGTATGCATTCCGTGTAAAGTTTCACTTTGTAATAATCTTCTTGTTTCGTGTAATTATTAATCAAACATGCGATTATATTCCCATCGCATCCATGCAGTCATTACGTTGATTGATGATAAGGAAAAAAATAATTTCATATAACAGTTCTGTTGAAAGGCCAAGTCCGTTTCGTTAATAAAAATGGTTAAACGCGAAAATAATTGTGTGACAAAGTATGTTTCCAATCGTTATTTTATATCCGAATGTTTCTTAACTACATTGATTAGGGTCCACGCCCTTTTTCTACAAACACAAAGTTATATGTATTTCATATAAAATTTCCATTATCTCATCCATTTTATTTTCGCTCTTTATATATTTCAATTGCATCACTTAAAAACGATTCCTGTGTAATATATTATGTGGTAACAGACAGGCCCTTTTGTCGTATGCTCACTGTAATGACATACAAGGAAACGAAAACTTAGCTATAGAGATCGTCATCTCCATCATCTTGAAAGGCTTGATCGCCTTGTGTGTTATCTTGAGCGCCGCCTGCTGCACTTTGTGGAAATCTGTAAATTTTTTTTAGAGATTTAAGAAGTAATATTTAAATATTTAACTTTATTCTTAATATTGATTTTTTAAAATTGATTATTTAAAATTCGTAAAGAAAGCTCATACCTGAAATTAGTCCCAAAACCTCGAGATTGCTGAAGCGTTTGCGCAAACATTTCATACTTGCGAATATCGTTGTCAGATACTGAACGACGCGCAAACCTCATTGCTTCCTCGAAGTGAGCTCGCGTTATTTCTGGTACAGGATCATCCTCATCCATCTAAAATAAATAAATTAAAAAAAATCTTAAAATTTAGAAAAGATACATACATCAATAACACTTTTTAATATAAAATTTAATATAAAATTAATTTAATATAAAATTCTTATTTTTATATTTTAGTTTAATATTGCCCAGAAGCAAAACAATTATCGTGCAATTATAAAAAGAACTTTTCCTTGCTATTGTAAAAAATAAAAAATAAAAATTGCCCTCTCTGCTGATGACGATGAATAAAGACGAATGCTGACTCAGATATGAATCATACAAATGACGCAGCAAAAGTTTCTTTGAAATAACGCGACATAAAAAACTGCAAAATGAGGCATTTATTCTATAACAAAATCTTACATCCATAGATGCGGATGGATTATTTGCTCGTTCCTTTTCCCTTCGAATTTCCGTCTCAATACATTGTCTAATGGCAAGTTTACACGCGCGTTGGCAGATTTCTGTCAAATCAGCACCAGAAAAACCGTGTGTAACTTTGGCTATGTAGCTTAGATCTACATCCTAAAAGAAAAAATTGTTTTTTAAAATAATGATGAGTACATAGAAAAATATCAACATATACACAATAACAAATACTTTATATATTGCCAAAATAATTTTATCTTTTTAAAATTTATGAAATTATTACCTTAGCTACGGGCGATTTTCGGAGATTAGCGCGGAATATCGCTTCTCGAGATTTCTCATCTGGCAATGGTATATAAATCAATTGATCTAATCTACCGGGCCGTAAAATTGCCGGATCAATGATATCGGGACGATTTGTCGCTCCTATAATAAATACATTTTTTTTCGCGCCCATGCCATCCATTTCCGTTAATATCTGATTTATCACACGATCCGCCGCACCACCAGCATCGCCAACACTGCCTCCTCGAGATTTCGCGATAGAATCAAGTTCATCAAAGAACAATACACAAGGTGCTGCTGATCTTGCCTGAAAATGATTTATTACACAATGATTCTAAATCGTTCATTAAAGAACGCGAGAGAGCTTACCTTATCGAAGACATCTCTGACATTAGCTTCCGATTCTCCAAACCACATAGTTAACAATTCAGGACCCTTGACAGAAATGAAATTCGCTTGGCACTCGTTGGCGATCGCTTTGGCCAATAGTGTCTTACCGCAACCAGGCGGTCCATAAAATAATACGCCTCTTGACGGTTGCATACCGAATTTCAAGAATTTATCAGGATGTTCCACTGGATACTATGTAACAAAAATATGCATTAACAAACAAGGTATTTGAAATTCGTGCGCGTCTATAAAACTTCGCATCTGTTTTTACCTGCACCAATTCTTGCAATTCCATTTTAACATTTTGTAAACCTCCAATATCATCCCAAGTAACCGTCGGTACCTCCACGATCGTCTCACGTAGAGCACTTGGACTGCTCTTCGTCATTGCATACTTTAACAGAAAGATAATTTTTATTTAAAAAATAATGCAAATCGATTCAATGTAAAATCTAAATAATAATGACCTACCTTAAAGTTCTCCATAGTTACTGCCAAAGAGGATAGAACTTCCGCATCTATATGGTCATCTTCTAAATCAATCAGGTCCATCTTCTCGCGGATTTGTTGAAGAGCTGCTTCCGAACATAAAGATGCTAAATCGGCTCCGACATGTCCATGAGTTTCTGCTGCAATCTAGCGACATATTTTTATTATTTTATAATATTAAAAATAATTGTTTTAGTTTGTTCTTCTGCGGGATACTGGATACTCAATGTTAAAGCAATTGCTTGTCAAGTAAAAGATCCAGATTCAATACTCGATAAATCTGAATCTTTTTCAATCCATATACATGATATACAAAATTTTATAAATAAAACAATATCTTATTATAAACAAGTATTGAAAACATAAACTTAATCTTAAGGATCTATCTCCTATCTGGAGATAAACAAATATTAGTACTGTATATTCCAAGGCACAAAAATCTCTAAATAAAAATAAATAAATATTAGAAAATGTTATCCTCTAAGCAAAAGTTGGACAACTTTACAATTCTTTTTACAAATTGATTGTGATTATAATTGTAGCTATAATAATTGTAATAATTATAAAATTTACATAAGACATTTTTCTCTAAAACTCGGCTCAAATAATGCTATTGAACAGAGTGATATGAAAATAAATAATACCTCTTCTAAGTCCACATCATCAGCAAGTTTCATATTCTTCGTGTGGATTCTCAAAATTTCCAATCGGCCAGTGGCATCTGGTATACCGATATCAATTTCTCTATCAAACCGTCCAAATCGACGCAATGCTCCATCAATGCTGTTCGGCCGATTAGTAGCTGCCATTACGATCACATGAGAACTTTGCTTCATGCCATCCATCAATGTCAACAATTGTGATACAATACGTCTTTCGACTTCACCATGCGTCTATAAAAAACAAGTATATATTTCAAAATATAATTTTTAAAAAATTAAAAAATATTAAGTTTGAATTATCAAACCTTTTCACGTTTCGGTGCAATTGCATCTAATTCATCAATAAATATAATGGCTGGAGAATTCTTTTCCGCCTCCTCGAAAGCCTTTCGCAGATTGCTTTCAGATTCGCCAGCCAATTTGCTCATAATTTCAGGACCTATACAAGAAAGTAAATATTTGAGTCTTATGTGCTTGTATGCCTTATTCAATTATATCTGATGACAACTAGATTGTATACCGTTTATAAGAAAGAAAAATGCTCCGGTCTCGTTTGCCACTGCGCGTGCAATAAGAGTTTTTCCCGTTCCTGGTGGTCCATATAATAATATACCACGTGGTGGCTTAACACCGATAGCTTTGAAAAGAGATGGATGACGCAGTGGTAACTCTACCATTTCCTTGATTTGTGCCAACTGCTTACGAACACCACCAATATCATCGTAACCCACAGCATTCAATGCTTCCTCCTCTTCCTACAAACAAGTGTTCTTCATTCTCTGGATCATGATGAAAAATACCGAAAACAATATATTTTTCTGACCTCTCGTTTTATTGGATCACCTTCACAATGTATCACTGTATCAGGCGCAACGATGCAAAACGGTCCTGGATCAGTTTCTACAACTTTGAATTCCACAGCTCGCATACCTCCTCGTACAATAAAGTTATCATCCTTATGAATAGGTCGGTATGCTTCCAGGAAATATGGTTTTAAATAGACTTCAAATAGATTTCTACAAAAATTTAAAAATATATCTTTTGTACCTTCTATTTTTGCCATTGTAAAAGTAATATATAAATAGACACAGAATTAATTTTGTAAAAGTAAATAATATTAATTAAACTGTATCAAAACTTTGTATCAATTAAATATTTCAATTAGAGTTGTTCTAATCAATCATATATTAGACAAATTTTTTCATTAAATTTACCCAGTAAGACCATCAACTGTATCATCCATTGGCAATACATGGATGCGCTTCCCATACTTAACCTCTGGACATGCTTGTACAGAGACTACATCACTCAGACGTACACGTAAGTTGTTTCTAACAACACGGTTCATACGAATCTTTTCATCTGGACAAGTATCATCTGAAAGAACAATACACACTGTCTCCTTACGCCTTTTGCCCTTTAGCAATACAGTATCTCCACGAAACAGTTGTAATTCGTCCATTTTTGCTTGAGAAAGTGCAACCACGGAATTGTCATCTGCAATTGCTTCATCGACCAACAATCTGTTTGGCCTATCCTTCTTGCGAAGAATAGCTGTCGCCAGATCTTCACCACTGAAATGAAGAATGTTAATTACATATCAAATATAATAAAAAAATTAATAATAAAAAAATTATTCTGATATTCTTTTGTTTTTATCACCGTCCATGTCTCAAATATACAAATAAAATATTAAAAATTTCATTATTAATTAAAATATATATCTGTAAAATGATTGAAATAATGTAAAAGTAATACTATGATTATGAGGGTCCTCTTTTCTTAAAAATAAAGAATACAAGAGATACATTTTTTGGATTTCTCTGAAAGGAAATTTTCAGTCATTTTGTGACATGTAAAACCTTGAAAATTATTCTTCTAATATAAATTTCTCTAATAGAAAATTTTTTTTGATAAAAGAAACATATTTCTGTATTCAGAAAAGAAAAGAAATTAATATGACGTATCATTTATATACAAATTGCGTCATTGTCAGATATGTATCCCAAAATGTTTATAAGCATAATTTCGAAAGACGACGATACGCGAGAAGTGAGATTAATGCAAAATTAATTAACATATTTTTAACATTCGGATGTGCAGCGCGAATGTTAACGCTACGGCGCGTCCGCATTTGTAATTTCCGCATTCGCATCCGGACATGACGTTGACACCAGCTGAGTCCGGTATCGCGAGGAATCTGACGTATCGTCAACGACTTCGTCTCTTTTGTCACGTTTGGCATTTCAGGTATAACAGCCATGATCGACAGCGACGACCGAGAACCGATAAGCGTCGGATCCCATGGGGATACTCCGGGATGCTCCGGGATGCCGTGAAGCGAGAAGACGCGTGATCCGCGTCGGCGGCGGACGCTCCGCGCACATCGACCGCGGGGTCGCCCGCCGCGAAAAACAAAGCGTCGCGTCGACATGATGACATCGTGAAATTGAGGGGAGTCGTCGCGCTCCGCGTACACGCGCCTGCCGACGACGAGCGCGAGAGTTCGGAGCATCCCGAAAAATCGCCGACAGGATCGGGCCCGCGCCCGTCACAAGTTTCTCTCACCTCTTCGGATCAGTCATCGTTCACAATCCTCGGTGCTCTCCGCGAAAAGAATCCACACGACGCACGATCTCTTTTCCCTTCAGTACAAACGCGCCAGTCTAGCAACGGAGGCACAGACGCAATGAGGAAACCGTGCGATGATGGCTCGCTTCTATCGTTGCCAAATCATAGGGTGCAGGCGCGTTTACATGTAACGAATCTGCGGCCGAATCGTGACATGGCGATCATGACAAACCATGGCGGCAGCCAATCAAATTTCTATTTCTCCCAAAATGGCGTCTCTCTCGCACGCTCTCTCTTTCTCTCTCTTTCTTTCTCGTTTCCTCGTTATTTATCTGCTCTTTGTCATTCCCTAAAGCCCATATCAGACAACCGACTGTGAAAGCCAATCCGACTGCTGGATTACGATTGCCAATCTATAGTGGACAAATCACAAAAAATAAACCGACTGGATTGATCAATTTAAGTTTAGATTTTAATATGGAGAAGAAAAGAGAAAAGATGAACGATATAAGAAGACTAAAAAAACAGACTTAATTCATAAATCTTCCTTGAGAATCTCTGAGCTTGAGAAGAAAGATATAAAAAATTTTAATACATAATCACTCTTTTCAGTCAATATTTATTGTATGACAAATTTTTCAAACGTATTGATTGATTACAAAATAGAGCTTTTAGAGATTTGAAAATTTTATTATTTTATAGTCAATAACACGTTCAAAAAATTTATTGTTTGTACATACATACGTAAAATATCAATTTTCCGTTGCACGAAATTTAAATTAAATTTTGAATTTAGATATTTTTTTAATAAATAGTTTAATATAATTTTTTATTTTATTTCAACAATTTCAATGATTTTTCGAAACTACTTCGAGTTTCTCTCTCTCTCTC